GGGAAGAAATGCGAACAAAGCAGGCCAGGGGGCTCCTGAGTCCCAGAGGCCTGCCGCCAGGTCCCCTGGACATTGCTGGCTGCCCTGGGCCGAGAGACACCTCAACACCCGCACTGCCTGCCTTATAAGGTCCCTTTGTATAGGGTCATGGGGTTCGTTCCCCACCGAGAAGGAAGGGAGAGTTATGGGGAAGTGAGGAAGCCACTGAGTCTGGGGGCTGGGGATGCCTCTTCAGAGACCACCCAGATGACTGCTGGCCCAATGCCAGTGGGGAACCAGGCCGCTCAATGAGTGTGCCAGTGGGTTCCTGACCCAGCAGGCAGCTCAGGCCAAGCTGTGCCAGGGCAGACTGCTGGTCCTGCCGGCAGCCCCAGACCTGAGTTGGGATTAAAGTCTGAGATAGAAGCTGACTGTCCTGCAGCTGGGCAGGCTGCGCTGGGGCTGGCTTTGGGGCCCCGGCCATGAGAAAGAGCCGGGCCCAGCGCAGAGCACACAGAAAGCGCTTGATAACTCTGCAGACCCACTCAACCGCCCGAGTAAGATGTCGCAGAGTGCCAGTCGTGGCTAGCCTGGGACTGGCATGCCCACCCTTCAAGATGGTAACAAAGGAGAGGCCTTGGCCAGTTGGTGAGGGGGATTTGCAGGTCCTGTAGCTCAGAGGACAGGACCTGTGCAAGCTCTTACTGCTAGCCAGCATAGAGGCTCTTGGCACCTGCTAAGTGGAAGTGCTTCTGGGTCCTTGTTTGGTTTCATCTCCTGCCAGTAGGGCATACTTGACCTCACTGAGGTGACATCAGTCCTAGAAAGTGCTGGGCAGGGCAGCAACTCGAGCTGTCCTGCATTGGCGGTTGTGTCACCTTCAGCCTCCCGGGAGACCTGCTAGCAGAGCCCTGCTGGCCCCAGCTGCTACCAGAGCCCCTCTGCTGAGACAGCTGTCTGCAACCGGCAGCATGGAGCCACCCTCTCCCTGGACCTCCTCCCCAGCCTTGCTGTGGTCAGCAGATACCAGCCCAGGGCTCTGTCCATTCCCAGACTTCAGGGTTCCTGGCCCAGTGCTAGTCAAACAGAGCCCTTCTTGGGGAAGTGCCTGGTAGTAAGGGGCAGTATTTAAACCCCGAAGTCCCAGACTTTCAGTTCCACTTTCACTGTGCATTTGTGGCCAGCAAAACCGAAAAGCCACTTCAGGAATCCTTCAGCTGGCTTTGCCTCTGGTGGTGTCAGGTCGTTCGTGTCTGACGGTCAAGGGTAGCAGGCCGGCCAGGCGCTGGGCTGCTGAGCTTGCTGGCATTGCTGCCTCTGCAGGGCGGCTCGGGTGCTGGATGTTCTGCGTGGCTCTGGCCGGTGACTCAGCCTTAGCACATGCTGTGAGATAGTGTCAGTAGCATGGACGCAAGGATCTTCACTGTGGTGACGAGGGACGTCCACCCTGCTGTGCCTGCCTCGCTGCCCGTAGGCGTAGGCTGGTGGATGAGGAGGTGGGGTCGTGGAGCCAGGCCTGCTGTGCTCTTCCTTTTTCCCCAGCCGCATTAACCTATTTTTTTCTTCTCCGTGCAGCAGGCTCACTGCCAGCCTGAGGGAGCTAGGATTAAGCAGTGGTTGAGGTGGGGTGGGGGCAGGGTCCCAGCACTGGCAAGAGGGGTCGCCTCATTGGCATCTCATCAGCTTTGCCCTAAGGACTGGATGCTGTGGATGGGGGGATCCCTGTGGGTCTTCCTGCTCCCTTTAGTTAAAGTCATTAAAGGCCAGCAACTCCTTGGGGGCCCCCTGCTGGGTAGAAGAATCTGTCCAGATGGAAAGGTCCCCCACCTGAATACCACGCCTTGGAAATAGTGTGGGGCTGGAGTTGCCGGGGAGAGGAGCAGGGACCACATGTGGGCTCTCCCTGGGGCGCAGGAGGGCCATGGTTGGGTTGTTCTTGTCCCCAAGGAGCGTGCTGGGGCTGAAGCCTGATTCTGGCCCTGGACTTGGCAGTCGGTCTGTTGTGCAAGCATTCAGCAGAGGAGACACGTGGCATGTGGGTTAGCGGGCTCTGCCAGTGCTCTTGGTATTTAACTTCACATTTCTACTTTCCTTTTGCATTTTTTATTTCTCCCAAGTCACCACACTCCTGCAGACCAGGCTTGGTGCCTCCCCTTCCTCCATCCCGCCTTTAGATCCTTAGGTTGAACTTTGGAGGGGAAAGGGCTGACCGAAGACTCCATTCCCAACCCTGAGCATCCAGAGGTTTTAACGGGGTCACTGTGGGGGCCACAGAGAGGCTAACAGGGCCCAGACAGAGGCCTGGCCAGAAGCGTTTGTCTAATGAGAACACTGAGGTGCTTAACTGTAGGGAAGGGGTCTTCAGAAAGCCCATGGAATATGTGCATTCTGAAGACAGTGCATGGACTTCAGAAAGCTGCTTTTGTACCAAAATAAACTCGTACCTTATTTCCAGTTTTCCATGAACTTTCTGAAATACTCTCAAGCTGTCCATCCACAAGAGGTCATGATCCTGACCCAGGCCAGGCTGTGAAGTGGCCACAGGAGGGAACTCAGACCAAACTGGCAGGGCCCAGGGCAGGGGAAGAATTGAGGACAACTTCTGTTGACCTGTCTCTGCTCAGAGGTTGCCATGCGGGCTGAGATGCCCTGACTCCCGAAGAGCCTCTCTCGGGACCCCGGAGGCTAGCCCTTCCCAGAGCCGGCCCACTGTCTATGATGAGCGGCTCGTTCTGCTTACAGAGGGCCACAGAGGCTTCCCAGAGGAAGCACAAGGCCGCCCACCTTTGGGCCACTTGTCTAGGGAAGCTGAAGGCTCAGGATAGTCCTGGGGGAGCGTCCCTTTCCTTGTCTGCTTGATTGGCACCACAGGACAGCTCCCAGCCCCCGCCCCCTCCCCTCCAGTCTGTCATGTAACGTGGCAGCTCTTTCTAACAGCTCAGACGTGCACTCATGTGCACACCGCAGGGCTTCGTCCACTCAGCCGTTCACTGTCTGTCCCTGCCATGAGGGGACAAGGTGCAGGGTACAAGACACAGAGGGCTCATTTACCTTATTTCATAATCTGGTTCTGGGCATCGAGAAAGCTCTTAAAACCTTATGCAATAGAGATCTGTCCTAGCCTCCACTGCCCGCTGCCCTGCCCGGCCCCGCCTCCTTCTCTGCTAGAGGGAGGAAACCTGCTTCCTGTGTCCTCACCATTCCCATGCCCACCCCACCCCTGTGAGGATTCTACAGCTGCAGGCGGGGACCACAGTGCCTCCCTCTGGGACTGGAGACCCCTGCACCACTTGCTCCTGGGCCTCTGTATGGGCCAGGATAGTGGCCAGGCCAGCTGGCAGGATAGAAGGGGGATAGGGTGGCTCCCACAGCACCAGTCCTTGCCCAGAGGCAGAAGACTTGCCTCCTGAGCCACATGGGTAGTCTCCTGACCCCAGAGCCTCCACCTTGCCGCCTCACTGGCTCCCAAGAGCCTGTTCGGTTCTGCAGAGCATAATTCTCAACCCTGAGAACCTGCTGGCAAAAGTTTGGAGCCCACCACCCACATGCACAGACTGGGTGCTGTTTCAGGATGGAGTATGGATCCAAGGTGCTCTAAGCGACCTTGGCGAGGCACTATTTCTTGGCACCTGCACAATTTAGAAGAGTCCCTGGCCCTCGCCAGCATCTCTGCAGTCCACAGACAGTGTGACCAGCCAGCTAGGCTGGGCTCAGTGCCCCGACTGTGGATGGCCCCAGACCAGGGAGTGCCAAGCTTGCCAACCCAGGTGGTTCCTGAAAGGCCAAAGCTGTCTGAGGCCAGCATTGAGTAATACCCAGAGGCAGTGCGGCCCCGAGCCCAGGGGAACAGTCGTTTTGGAAAGATCCCAGAACGTGTGCAGCAGCCGGTCAGCAGGTGCTGTTTGGGCTTCCTTCCCCTCTCAGATCATGCTGGGGGCAGAAAGGGTGTTTGTGTTCTAGCAGCTCCTGCACCTGGGGCCCACCTACCCGATCCCCAGGAGAATGGCAGTGTCAGTCCTGGACCCCAGTGAGCCTTAGCCTGCTATCCTCACCCCCCAGGATGGGCTCTGGAGTAGTGGCAAGACCAAGGGAGCTGCTCTCTTGCTTCTCCAGCAGAGAGGCTGGGAGGGCCCAGGCCGCAGAGGTTCCCCTGGCCCTGCGCATACTGAGAGTAGAACTTGCCCCTGCATCGGAAGCTGGAACCTTCTCTGTGCAGGACCTAGCCCAGCCCTCAGGTTTGTGTGGCGCAAGTGCAGGACAGGACTCCGGGCTGGTTGGAGCAGCCCCGGGTCTGCTGTTTGACTCGCTCTGTGACCTTGGGCAGATCTCTTCCCTCTCTGGTTCTTTGGCATCAGTACATGAAGGAGCTCAACAGGATGATCTCCTAGAATCCAGTTCATATGAGGATCTTGGCCGTGTCTCAAATTCCTACCCCTAAGCCTCAAACAACCTCAACACGCCAGGAGAGTCTGGGTGGGAGAGGTCACAGGGCCACCCCAGGGCCAAAGCCAGCATTGGCTGAGCCCTGGGGGAGAGAGGTGAGCAGGAGTGTGGGCCTTTGTGACCCCATTCCTGAAGGACCCGGCATTGCTTCCTCTGTCCCGACACCTGGTGTGTTCACCGGGGCCAGGAATGTTGGTGGGGCACCTTCCCTGTGCTGGGCACACAGGCACCAGATACCGAGGTCCGTGTGGCAGACAGGACCCTCGTGGCCACTGTCTGTGGGAGGAGTCAGTCAGACCTGAGGTCACTTCAGGTCAGACGAGAGCTGGGAAGAGAGTGGGGTGATGGGTTAGAGCGTGACAGGGAGGAGAGGCCTCGCTTGTGGAGATCAGTTTTGAGCTAAGGTTAAAATGACAAGAAGGGATCAGCCATGGAAGGTCTAGGACCGGGCACTCCAGGTAAAGGAACCAACGAGGTAAAACCCTCGGGCAGGTGTGGCAAAGGCCGACAGGCTGTGCAGAGAGAGCAGGCGATGATGCTACATGAGGGGGCAGTGGCCAGGTCGTGCAGGGCCTCATGGGGCTTCACAGGCGCAGGGAGTTCAGCCTTTAGTGTCCGCGCAGCAGGGCGGGACTGAGAGTGTACGCGCGGGTTTAGTGCCCACCATACCCTCTGAGCCCTGCCGAGTACCACGCCCTGCTCCTCTCTCCTGCCCGAGTCAGGTGATGGCCTGCAGGTAGGTCTCTCGTTAGCCACACCACTGTACGGATAAGGAAACGGGCTCCGCGAGACCCTGGTGAGGTCAGGAGAGGGACTTAGCAGCGGAGGGAGGCCCAGAGCCCACTTGAAACCTCTTGCTGCTGCTCAGGTGTACAGCTGTCTGGGTGGCCATGGCGCAGCTGGGGCTGGAGTGCAAGCCCTGGATGGGCGCTCTGAAGGTGCTGGCCACTGTTGGGGCTGTTTGGTGCACGCCTGCCCCAGGGCAGGCATGAGGCTTGGGTGCCCGGCACGGTTTCCGGCTAGGCAGGGAGGGGGAAGGACTTGTATTCTTATCATGCTCCTCCAAGTCCAGTGGAGGCCTCGAAGCCCGGTGGGTGAACTAACGACCCTTGGCCTTCCCGGGGCAGCCTGTGTGAGAGAAGCCTCGGGAAACCTCCTGCCTCGGACTCGGACGTCAAAAGCGGCCCCTTCCCTTTGGAAACAGGGCTTCCGGGTCACCTCTTTCTTGCTTTGGCCCTGACCACTTCCTTTCCTAAGACTGCCCTGCTGCCCCTGCCCTGGTGCCCCCAACATGGGCTGGGCAGGACCAAGTGTGAGTTTGCAGCCACCTCAGGAATGGGTGGCCGTGCTGGGTGGGCCGACTCCCAGGAAGACAGAGCCCTGGGGCTCTGGGGGAGATGCGCCAGTCTTCGCTTCTCCTCGGGGTCAGCCATGTTCAACCCAGGGGCTAACAGTCCGTGTGCTGGGGATGGGGGCACCCAGGGCAGCCTGAGCCCCTGGTGTGGGCACACTGGGCGGCGCTGGGCGCAGTGGGTGTTAAGAGACTAGCCTGATTTCGGTCAAAGCAGCTGCAAAGCTGCTAAGCCCTTCCACGTGTGGGTCTAGAACTTCAAAGCTCTGGGGAGGGGAAGGGGAGAAGTACAAGGCACCCTCCTCAGGTGCCTTGGAGTCAGCCCCAGCCTGCCCGTGGCCAGCCTGGGGGCAGGTGGGCAAGCCATGGCCGCAGAGAGCCCTGTGGGAAGCCTGGCTGACCCTGCTGTGACTGGCCCTGCAGGGTAAGGGCTGGAGAGGCCAGATTGCTTGGCCTTGTGGTGGGGTGCCAGGCCACTGGAAGATGAGGTGACAGCTTATGGAGCCTGATCCTGGTCCCTGACCCAACTGCTGAGCTAGAAGCCAAGGATGCGGCCCTGGGGGCCCTCCCTCTCCGCCTCGCCGCTCTCCGAGTCTCTCCCAGCAGCCACGTTGACGGAGTCCTCCAGTACCCTCCCGGCGGGAGGAGGCGCAGGCTCCTGGCAGCTCCCCGTCCCCCTGTTGCCAGCCCTACCATGCCTCTCACGCCTGTGGTCTGTCCCAATGACAGGCTGGCTTGGTGTCCCAAGGGGACCCAGCCCTGAGCATGTGGCCATACTTGGGGGAGGCAGGGGAAAGGCAGCCCCGGACCGCCACGGTGGCCACTGGCCTGGGAGCCGCAGGCAACCTACCCCATCAGACCAGATGCCCGGCCCAGGTCCTGCTCTCCCAGCTGCCAGTCTGCCTGTGGCAGGGTGCACTGGAGCATGCCCCACCCACTCTCCCTCCATTGTGCCCTGGGCAGGGGCCGTTTTTATAAGGAGCGTCCTGAGTCACCTGGTGGTGTCCCTGCCAACCTCGCAGGGCAAGCTCCGAGCTCGGCATACTCGGTTTACTGCCCTGGTGGTTTGGAGCATTTGGTTTGTGGGCATCCAAAGAAGCCCCCCCTTTCAGGGCAGGGCGAGAGTGCTGGGTTTGACGCTCCAGGGACTGAGGGTGCAACTGAACAGAGAGTGAAAGGCCATGGGAGCTATGCTGGGGTGCTGGGGAGGGCCCAGGCCTGAGAGGTGGAGCTCCCACTGCCTGTGCCTCCCCGAACTGTGGAACTGAGAGTGAGTTCTGAGGGGAAGGAGGGAGGGGCTGGTAGCCCTTGGGGCCCATGTGGAACACTACCTTCAGGGGTCCCCATCTGTAGTGGGCCCCAGTGGCACATCCCAGGGTGACGTTTGCTCAAGTCCTCTCTGTGCCTTCTCTCCCTCCACTGAGGCCGTGGCAGCCAGTTCTGGTTCTGTTTATCCCCAGCTGCCCATAGACAGGGCCACCAGAGGCCCCTTACTGTGGCTGGAGCTCTGTGTAGGAGAAGGGGGCAGCGGAGGCCATCTCCAGATGGGGCGAGCTGTGTGGCATGTACAGTGTGGCTCAGCGGTCAGAGGACCTGGGCTTGAACATGGCCCCGTAACAATGAGAGTGGCCCAGCTCACAGGGTGCCTCCGAATGCCAAGCACTCAGTGGTGGGGAGACACAGGTGGGGGGTGGGGTCCCCTGCCCCAGGTGGGTGAGAGATAGGCCAGAGGAAGGGCCCTCTGAGCACAGTCCTGAAACTCAGGTGTAGACCCAGCATCCCCCTGCCCTCGGGGCCGAAATCCTCTTGCCACCCTGCAAGGCTCCCGTGGTCCTTTTCCTGAATGTGAGAACCACGTGCTTCCAGAAAGACGAGTGGCCTCCCCTGCCACCTGTGGGTTCCCAGCAGAGGACCAGGACTCCATTGCAGGGGACCTAGTGCTCCCTCTGACCACCCGGAAGGTCAGCCTGTCTCTGGGAGATGTCTGAGTGTGTAGCCACGATTTGACCATGGCTACAAAGACAAAGTTCTTTCAACCTGCTCTGAGTGTACAGCCAGTCGCTCATAACTTCTCCAAGATGTTTAGTGCCGTTTCTGGCTCCCGCCCCTCTCACATGCCTTGAGAGATGCACACCGATTCCCAATGTTGAGCAGAGAGTGCCCTCGGTAGGTCCCTCCGACCTGGCCCTCCATGTCTTGTTCCCAGGTGATCTGATGTCCCCAAGGTAACTGTTTCCTGGGACCCGTGGATGACACCTGTCTGCTGGGACTAGAGGATGGACGGTCAGGCGTTCCTGTCCACTGCCATCCCAGGGGCTGGCTCCTCTGCCCAGAGCACTAATCTAATCAGGAAATAGCAGCGTCCACATTTCCCAGGGGTTATAAATAGCCACCGCGATCCAGGCAACATCATTTCTCTGGAAAATGTGCCATGTCCCTCTCTATTCCCCACCCTCCCTTCTCTTTATTTAAATGACATCCTGAAATAGACTTGGTTTCTGGAGGCCAGCAGCCTCCCGGGAGACAGAGCGACATTGTGAAGGCGCCGAGGGGCTGGGCCGGCCTCCCTGAGTGGGTATCAGGGCCGCACCTATAGTGGGGACCGGGCAGATGGCAATGGTGGGGACTCACAGTAAAAGGAGGAAGTGGCACCTTTCCTGGACCTGGCCCGGGCCTCAGAAAGGCTGGAGCATGTGCACAGCAAGTGGCACCTGGTGGGCTGCCGAGGGGCAGGAAAGAAGGCGGGAAAGACTGGAGATCCCTGTGGCCTGTGATCCAGGAAGGCTTTCTGGAAGAGGGGCTAGAACTGGACCTTCGCATCAGCAGTTGGTTTTGTCTGTCTCCGATGCTCCCAGGAAAACTTAAGAGTTCCTTGGCAGCTGGAGCGGAAGCAGCTAGTCAGGAGGGAAAGAAGGAGCTATACTGGGGCCTGCCAACCTCCGGGCTGCCTGCCGGCCGAGCCTTTCTGTGTAAATAACGGGACAGCAGCTGAGAGGTGCAGGCGCCAGGTTAGGTACTTTCCAAGTTATCTGGTGGCTTTGGCAGAGACGGTGAGTCACGGAGATCTGATTTTGCCCCGGGGTTATCACTCCCTAGGTGTGTGGCACTGAGTAGGCTCCTTGTGCTCTCCAAGCCTTGGTGTGCTCATCTGTAAACGGGAGCAGCTCTGAAGGCCGAATTGTCCAGACGGGATGGCTCACTTGCAGTGCTGCTTGTGGAGGGTTGACGTCATCGTGTGAGACTTGCAGAAGTCCTCAAAGTACATGCGTCGCTGTTCCTGTTTTCCGTAACAACTCTGTGAGACAGGGATGGACACTCCCTTGAGAAAACTGAGGTGCAGGGAGGTTAAATGGCTTGCCCAAATGACACAGTTGAAGTCAAAGACCCAGATCAGCCTGACCCCCAAGCCCTGCACTGTCCACACTTGGGCTGTGTCCAGATGCCACTCCAGGACTCCAGGAGGGACCACTGACTTGGTGCATATTAGCTGCCAGGAGGTGCCAGCCAGGACGTAGGCGAATCCCACCAGGTGCCGGGCTGCCGGAATTAACCTGGAAAGGGCTGGTGGGGCAGGTGGTGGCAGAGCAGTAAAACGCCCTGGGTGGGAAGGTCTCCTTTGTGAGCCCCGGGACCTCCCTGAGTGCACCAGCACAGCCTTGCCTATGATCTGGGGCTGACTGAAGGCGGCGGGGAGAGTCACAGTGTCCAGACCCTATTAGGAGTGCTGTGTATGTCTGTCTCACGCAGCCATAAATACAGTTCTAAAACGGGGTAGGGCCGGTCACTCCAGAACATTTCCATCTCTGCGTCAGTCGACAGGGAGCAGTTGAAATCTCTCTACCCTGGGGCTGGCAGGTGGTGCAGTGGTCAAGGGCGCTGGACTCCCACCTGGCTGACCACGGTTTGAGTCCTGGACCTGGCGGCTTGCTTTCTCACTTTCCATCTCTCTTACTCTCTCTCACTCTGTCCCTCTTTGGTCAAATTTAAATAAATAAACGAATAAAATTACATAAAATAATTCTTTTTTTAAAAAAAGAAAAAATATTAAAAAAAAAAAAAGAAGAAGAAGAAGAAAAAGAAATCCCTCTATACCCCATGTAGCCACTGCGGGGAGACAGACCAAGGCCTTGTGCGAGACCCAGGGATCTGGATGAGCTGAAGGAAGCAGAGCCTGTGCTTACAGGTCTGGGGAGGGTTTAGGAGGTAAAGAAGTTTAGAGGGGAGGGAGGTTTCAGAAAAGTGAGGCCCAAGCTGGGGCTTCCTCTGGGACCCAGCAGGACCCTTGGCCTGGAGCCTTCTGGAGTAGAGAGCCTGGGAAGCAGCCAGATGGCATGGCCGTGCTCCCCTGCTCCCCTGCTCCCCTCGATCCCCTCGAAGCCCTCCTATGTGAGGAAGCAGGGCGGCAGATATCCCCAGGGGCCTTGGTCCTCTCCACATTGCTTTCTCTGCCTCCTGTTCTCAACTCCATCCCTCCTCCAGGCAGGGAGCTGACTGCGGCCAGCCGGGCTACAGCTGGCCCAGATGCAGAGCCCTGAGTGAGCCAAGGCAGACCCAGACCCCCCTGAGATGCTTGGTGTCACCTGTGCCCAGACAGTGTGGGTGAGAAAAGCTGTGGAAAGCCACAGGGCCTAGTCCCTGGGCTGCATGGCAGGGAGTTTTCAAGGGGTCAAGGCGCAGATCCTCAGTGACTGCATGTGTACAGGCCTCCCACCAACCCGCTGCCTCCCTCAAGAGCAGATGCAGCCCCAGGGCTCCCTGTGGGAGCTGAGCTCAGGGTGTCCAGACCTCCTAGGTGGTGAACTGAGGGTGCGAGAGAAGTGGTGTAGGTGCTGAGAAAGTAAAAGACTCTCATGACCAGTTGCAAAGGTTTAGCAGTTCTTTGCCTTCCACAAACCTAATAGTTGAGAAGTGCTTTAAAATAAAAAAAATTTTATAATAGGCATATGTGCAACTTAAGGCAAATAATACAAAAATAATATATACAGAATTATATAATGTTGCTCTAATAAAACTGCTTTCAGCTTCATCTACTTATTTATGTGAACAAATATTTTGTTGTTTATATGCTTTAAAAAAAAAAAAGCCCCAAAATTATGGAAAGGATTGGTACAGGAACTCATTTCACTCGAGCAAAAAACGATATTCACAGATTTGTGGATTAAAAGAGAAAAACGTTCTAGGGGCCAGCAGTTAGCGTAATGGCTATGTCGCTGGACTTCCATGTAGTCGACTGCAGTTCGAGTCCTGGACCTGGTGGCTTAAACTCACACCGGGCACGTGTGCGTGCGCGCGCGCCCGCCCAAGATCCCTAGAGGAGAACGGAGGAGAAGGGATTGCGGCGTGGCCATCCCCCTGAGGGGTGATTCCTCACTTTCTGTCTCTCTGTCTCTCTCTGTCTGGCAAGGCACGCGCCCTATAGCAAAAATCTCTCCCCCCAAAAAAGAGAAAAACGTTCTATCCATCTCTTTGAGAGATACAATGCCACCAAAGTGTCACTTTGCTGCTTAGTGTTTGCTAAATTTTGTAATGTGTTGATTTACTTTTTTTTTTTTAACCAGAGGGAATGTGTGCTGGCCAGAGACAGAGAGAGAGAGACAGAGAAGAAGCACCCTCCAGTGGGATGTAGTCATGCCAAAATCGTTTTTCCACTGCCGCATCCCATCAGGACTTGGGGCACACATGTACACATGCCTGGCGTGTTCGTCAAGCTGTCACCCTTGCCGAGACCATCAGGGGTGCTCCTCTTTCTCATGTGCACACACGTATGCACACATGTGCTCTCTTTTATCATAACGGGGTTTTTTGGGCACAGATATTTTTGTGGAAGCAAAATATAATAGGATGATGAATCAGAGATCTTGCAATATAAAAATATAAACTAGGGCAAAATTCCTTAGGAGAACTAGAATAGAAGCATAAATGTGAGGCCAGGATTCGAATCATGGTCAGCCATGTGGGATCCAGCTCCCCACGTACACTGCTGACCCACTGCACTGTGGCTGCCCTGTGGTTTACTTCTCGGTGTGCTGTTCAGCGTGGTAATCACTAATCCAGGATAAGTTTTTTTTTTTTTGGAGATGTTTTCGTTATAGGGCGCGTGCGCTCGCCAGACAGATGGAGAGAGACAAAGAGACAGAAATCACCCCCCAGGGGGGATGGCCACACCACAATCTCTTCTCCTCCATTCTCCTCTCGGGATCTTGGGCACGCACGCACACGCGCCCAGCGTGAGTTTTAAGCCACTGGGTCTGGGACGCGAACCGTGGTCAACTACGTGGGAGTCCAGCGATATAGCAATTACTCTAACTGCTGGTTCCCAAGTTTTGAATGTTTGAAGCCACATGATCTTAGGAAATTTTCCATTTTGATTTGTACGGAGACCCAGACGTAGCGGTAACGCAAGTGCCCTGTGAGGCTGCAAGCCACATGCCGATGGCAGGTTCAGAGCCCTGGGTTGGTCTGAAAACACACTAGGCACACGTGGGGAAAGGGGACCATGGTGTGACGAGACCCCGTCAGGGGTGCTTCTCTCTCTCATGCACACATGCACGTATGCACACGTGTGCACTCTTTTAGCATAAAGGGTTTTTTATACGGATATTTTTGTGGAAGCAAAATATAATAGGATGATGAATCAGAGATCTTGCAATATAAAAATATAAACTAGGATAAAATTCCTTAGGAGAACTAGAAGCATACACTTAAGGAGCAAAAAACCATTTTCTGGGTTTCTACAAGGGATAGAAGAGCTTGTGTGTGTGTTTAAGATGGAGCGGGTGGCTATCAAAGCACTGCGGTATTTAGATTGTACTGAATATATTTTTTTAATGATGTAACAGTTTGACTTTAAGATGTCAATATTTACATTATTCTGGAAATTATATTCTTTGCAACTGTTTAAACTTGCCATGAAAATGTTCAGATGTTGACTTAAAAATGTGCCAGGGAGTGCATCGTTTAAATTATAGTCAAAATTATTCTGTGGGTACACGACACAACAGTGGGAAGGCCCTCAGTATAGAAATGGAGCCCTGAGGGGTCCCACGGGAGGGGTGCCTCTGCCCCTTCCCTGGCACCCCCCTAGGGCCCCAGCCTGGCTTGGACTTAAATATGGAGAGTTTGCTTATTCAGGAGCCAGCTGCCTCACCCCAGGTATCTCACTGACTCTTCACCGCCTTGCAGCGAGGCAGGGCTGTTCCTGGCTGTGGAGCACAGGTGAAAGAAACGAGGCTTCACAAAGTCACAGCTGAAGCCCAGCTCTGTCCCACGTCGGAAGGGGCAGAGCTGGGATTCAGACCCAGGCAGCCCCTCTGACGTGGGCTCTCAGCCTCCACATCACACCACCTCCACGCACATGCAGGCTGAGCACAGCTTTACCTCTGTGAACCTCCGTTTCTGCATCTGTGAAATGGGGTGATGACCATCACAATGCGGTGGTCAGGATGAATGAGATGTGATGGGCAAAAGTGCCTGAGAGGCAGAGAGACACATGCCTGCCTCCTTCACAAAGAGGGGTCCTTCACTTGCCAGCCAGAGGGGCCTGGGGGCCAGAGCCACCCTGAAGGGTTGATTCTGAGATAAGCATCCCCCACAGCCCTTGGTTCTGCCTCCCTGGCCATCTAGCTGGCTCTCGAGCAGTGGCTGAGCAGCAGGGAGAGCCCTGGAGAGGTCTCTGAGAGGTTTGTGTCTCACTTTCATTCTCTTTCCACAAACCGTAGAAACCAAGAACTGGCACACAGACGTGATCGAGATGAATGGGGTGAGCCCGGGGAGGCAGGGACGTCTGCACTGTGGGTGGCAGCTTTCCCAGGGTGCTGGGCTGCCTCTGCCACCCCCTTGCCTGGTCCCTCTCCTCTCCTCTTCCCTGCCCATCTTGCAGAGTTCGGGGAGCCCTGGGAGCTAGAGGCAGCCCTTGCATGCAGACCTGGGGAGGGGGCCCTGTGTTTTGGAGGACACTCCTGGAGCATTCATGTCCTGGGGGACTTGGGCCTTCCTTACCCACACCAGATCAAAGTGGAATTCTCCATGAAATTCACCAGCCGAGACATGAGCCTGAAGAGGACCCCGTCCAAAAAGCAGACTGGCGTCTTTGGTGTGAAGATCAGCGTGGTGACTAAGTAGGTGCTGCCTCGGTGTCCGAGCGCTGGCGTCAGCGCTCCCGGGTCCCCGCCAACCCCTGCTCCAGCCCCCCTGCCATGCCCGACACCCCATCAATCACCCTATGGGTCAATAGCCACAGACGGGCAGTTTGGAGGCCAAAAGTGGTCCACAGAGGTGCGTTCCCTGGCTCGCACAATGCTCCAGAAATAAATAAAATAAAAATAGAACCTGTCAGTGTTCCTGTGAGCCACACTGAAACATGGGAACGCTTTGTGTGAAATTCCTAGATTGTCCACTTCTCATAATAAATGGGAAGGTTTGACAACCCTGACCCCTCACTTTGGCCTGGCGGCAACAGGCTAGACTCCAAGGGGTGGCTGCCCCTCGGGAAAGGGGACAGAGCATGTGTCCTCAGCTCACCACCCACCTCTGTCCCTTCCACCTTCTTCACACAGGTGACCTGCTGAGCCCCCATAGGCATTTGAATCTGGGGAGAATTCTCTGGGCCTAGCTGGGAGCCCCCCTGCCTCTGTCCCTCCTGGGCCAGCTAGGTTTGGTGGAGGTGGGGTGGTCTCTTGCTCAGCCCTTTCGTTGCCCCCCTCCTGGTCCCAGAGGCTAGAGCTCTCCAAGGCCTGAGTGTGCTGGGGGCGCCTGCCCCGCCTCCCCCTCACTCACGTGTCCCCTGCAGGAGGGAGCGCTCCAAGGTGCCCTACATCGTGCGGCAGTGTGTGGAGGAGGTGGAGAAGAGGGGCATCGAGGAGGTGGGCATCTACCGGATATCAGGGGTGGCCACCGACATCCAGGCGCTGAAGGCCGTCTTTGACGCCAGTGAGTCTGGGAGGCCCTGCCGGGTGGGAGGGTGCGGTTGGCCAGCTCTGCGGGACCAGGGTGCCATCTCCACTGACAGGCCTGGGCTGCCGCTGGCAGGGGAACCTTGGCTGTGCCTGGCAGCCCACCGTGGCACATTCCCGAATCCCCGCAGCATATGCGAAACCTGCATTTTGTCAGGTAATCCCCTCCCCTGTCATCGTTTACCTAGCGCCACAGACGAGGAAGCCGAAGAAGCTCAGAGGCCAAGGCGCTGGCCCAGGATTACCTAGTTTGTAGGTTTTGAGCCTAGGCTTTTTAAAAAACTTTACTTATCATTATTATTTTGTAATTTGCTACAAGGCACATACGGTCATCAGAAAGAGAGAGGGACGGGGAGAGGGAAAGTGAGAACGCAAGCCACCAGGCCCAAGACTCACACCGTGGCTGGGCATCTGGGGGTGCGGCGTCTCGGTCATCGCGCCACCTGCTGTCTCCTGGCCTAGACATGAGCACAGCTCCAGAGTCTGTTCCTGGTTGTACGCCAGTTTCCAGGTGCCTGTGGGCTGCAGGGACACCGAGAGCTTTCGGCCTGGAAATGGGGCCCAGACCCCCCTCTGCTGTCTCCAGGGCCACAAGTGCCCTTTGGGGTAGTTCTGCCTCTGCATCTTCCCCTTGGTGGCAGGACTTGACCTTTCTGGTTTCTTTCTTTTTTCACTTCCTTTTTCTTTCTTTCTTTCTTTCCTTCTTTCTTTCCCCTTCCCTCCTTTCTTTCTTCCTTTCTTCCTTTTTCTTCCTTCCTTCCTTCCTACAATTATTCCCTCCCTCTCCCCTTTTTTTTGGAGAGTTTTTTGCTATAGGGCAATGTATACTCACCAGAAAGCGAGAAATCACCCCCCCCAGGGG